AAGGCCCAAGAGCCGAACGCCCAATCAGATTTGATCAAAAAATTGATTAAGTCCAAAAAAGCCAAACGGCCACAAGAGCCGATCTCAAAAATAGGCAAAGGCCCCAAGAGCCGAACGCCCAATCAGATTTGATCAAAAAATTGATTAAGTCCAAAAAAAGTTGAATGGCCACAAGAGCCGATTACAAAAATAGGCGAAGGCCCTAAAAGCCGAATGCCCAATTAGATTTCGTCAAAAAATTAATTAAGTCCAAAAAAGCCAAACGGTCACAAAAGCCGATCACAAAAATAGTTGGAGACCCCAACAGCCGAACGCCCAACAGCTGAACGCCCAATTAGACTTAATCAGAAAATTGATCAAGTTAAAAAATTCGAACGGCCACAAAACCGAATGCCCAATCAGATTTGATCAAAAAATTAATCAAGTTAAAGAAGTCGAACGGTCATAAAAACCGATCGAGAAAATAAGCAAATGCCCTAAGAGCAGATCATAGATAGAAACTCAGGCATAAACAATCTCAAGGAATACAAAGGAAACTTTCATATAAAAAAAAATTAAAAATAAAAATAAAATAAAAAATTATAAAGGAGGCAGGATATACCCTACACCTCCAAAAAAAAAAAAAAATACATAAACAATAAGCTATTTATGTGCAAGATCTCCCTCGAGTTCGGCCCCACCTTCCTCGTTAAACCTTTGCGTAAAAGCATCAACCAACTCCACCCTAGCTGGAGTAGAGGAAGGGGCATCATGCACCAAAGGAGGTAACCCTTGAGAGCTCAAAGGATATTAGAGAGGAGGCAAAACTTCAGTAGCCACCTCGCCCTTCAGCAGGGCAACAAACTCAATCTCCCTGGGACCAGCAAAGGGTTCAGCATATTCCCCGGTGATCAAGAGCCCTTGCTCGACATCATATTCATCGGCATCACCATAATCCCTTTCCTCGGAGGGAAACTGTCCCTAAGCAAAGCCAAGTCTGAAACCCTTGGCATAACGAAGATTTACCACTTGAGAAAAATGGTTAAACATCTCCAAACCCCCATCTTTGTAGGTTTGGATCAAGGAATTTGCCTTCCCAAGCTGAAGGCCGAGCTCAGCCGCTTTGTTCTCAAGTTCCTTAGCCCTCCTGTCAAAGTATTCAATTGACTTGAACTACTGAACCTTCTCCTTCTTAGCCTCAGCGAGAGAAGCTTCCAAAAGGTTTACCCTCTTTTGAAAAAGCTGTCGCCTGAATAGAATCAGCCGACAGCTTTTTCATAAAGGAAAACATCAAAAAGGAGCTCTGCGAAAAAAGGGCAAAATGTTATCAAGAGGTCAAAATAAAGAAACTAAAGAGAAGGGTCAATTAAGATTACCTCCATGATGGACTTGGGAGCAAGGGAAAGGAGATCATCAACACTCATCTGCTACTACAGAATCTCATTCCTAGGCGGCCACATCCCTCTGGCCAAACCCATCAGTGTCTCCAGGTCCTCAGTTCCAGAATCACCAATAGTGATAGGGGAGCCATCAGCCTTCAGCATTTCGGGGAACTACTTTTCAACAGACCCCGCAAAGTCACCCCTGGCGACATCAGCAGCGCCAGGGACTAGGGCACTTTTACCCTTGAAAGCCCCAGCCATAAACTTGGGGCATTTCGAAGGAGAATTGTCCTTTGCGGAAGAACGCATGAGCCCTAGCACAGACTGAACCTCCTTCTATTTTTGAAAAGAGGAGAACTTGCCCACCTCAACAAGGGTGTTCTTCCTCTCCTGCAGCAATTTAACAGCTGTTTCCTTCTCTTCCTAGTCGTACAAGGCTTTGGAAGGGGAAGTTCCATCGCTGCTTGAGAAAGAGAAAGAGGGGCAAGCAATTCAAGGCTAGTCTCGAAATCGGAAACGTCAAGGTCAATTAGTTCCTCGGGATTTTGAACAATCACGGGAGAATCCCTAGCGATTGTATTAAGAAGAGAAGAGGAGATAAGGACCTTAGCAGAAGGAATGTCGCTCCAGACTCTTTCCTGCAAATAATCAAGATGCCTATCTGCAAATTTTAAAGAAAAAAAGTCAATTTTGTGACCCAATAAGTCATAAATATAACAAAAATGCTTTACGATGCAGACAAAGCAAGAAGACTCACCCGAATCATCAAATGCAGGAACGAATGGGGCATGAAAACTCGATTGAAGAAATAGATCCCAAGCGAACGGAAAACACCATGCCCCTCCAACTTCAATAATTTTATCTTTCCACTCTTTATCAGAAGTGTTAAGATGAGATAAAAGGGCTCTACCTAGTCTAGAATGAAAGTCGCACCTACCCTCTCCACCTTTCGTTCTATCAAGAGTATAGCAGAATAGAAGATCAGCAAGATTCAAGTTCAAACCTCAAACCCTATTTAAAGCAAGAAGGCAAGAGAAGATGCGGAAAAAATTAGGGTTAACCTGAAGAAGAGCCAAATTCAACACTGATAGAACCCAAAGATAGAAAGGGTTAAGGGGAAATCGAAAAGCAGGAAAGTGTAAAGCCGAGAAGAGCATCTCACCATCTTCCAAACCCTCGCCAGTACTAAAGTTTAAATCATGATTATACTCCTTAAGGGTAATATAAGAAGGAACACGGTTTTTCTTCCTCAATTGAGTGATTGAAAAAGACTTCATTTCCACAATATCTAGAGGGAGGATTATGGGACCCTCGGCATAACCACTCGAACTCACCGCCGCAGTCCCCGATTTAGAATCAGACATATGAACATTATGAGTTCGTTCACTACTTTCTTGACTCATAATGTTAGAAATAGGGAACGGAAGAAAAATAACCACGACAGATGAAAGGAGATGACGCAGCAGCGGTCGAATTCTTGCTTAAACTCATAAACAGGATCACAGACACGAACACCCAAGTGACAAGAACACAATATATAGGCAAAATGAAGTAGAGAACGAAGAGGCAAGCACGAAACCCCAAAAATTGGAAGCACAAATGGTAATGATAGGCCGTAACAGCTGTAGAAACTTCTCCACTTCCTAAAAGCAGTTGTAAATTCCATATATGAATTCAATTCATAAAATAAATTAGGGGCAAAGTGTGGAGGGAAATTTTCCCACCAATCATAACTCACCACATATCAATTGGTGTACAGCCCAATATTTACCAAATTCGCTTTAAAGCCCAGCATAAGCTGGAAACCCAACAAGAAAGGTCCACAAACATATCAAGTCAGCCCAATTAACGAAGGAAACTCCACTTGATATAAAACGGATCTAGGGTCAGCCCGATCACGAATAACCCAAAACTCCATAAAACCTACCATAAAAGAAAGGGGCGCACGATCGGAAAGCATAAACACCCACGTCTAGAAAACTACCAGTAACGGCTCCATGTAATTCTCTGAACAAAGCTTATAAATAGAGTATGAATGAGAATGAAAAGACATCGAATTCCCATCATTGTTTCTCTCTTGAAAAATTATCTATTATCTCTCCTGTATTTCATATATTTCCTTTTGATTTATTTCTGTAAGTGTTCGGCTGTGAGAAATTGCACCAACAAGGTTTGATTGGGAGAGGAGTTGATCGATCATCTTGCTATATACATATATATATATATACATATATATATATATATATATAATATTTTAGTTTTTCAAGTGGATGTAAATTGTCGTTGATTCGTTGAAATGATTAGATTTGGAGCGCTGCTTGAAGGAAGACTTTTGAATCATGCGGGTAGACATCAAGAGTGCTACCTTTTGGTGATGGAAGACTATTGAATCAAAACATTGCCTAAACGAGTGGTTCATGCTGGCTGGTGACAGGGTTGATACTTTATATAATGAACTAAGTGGACAATGTTGCAGTAGATTGAGTCCCATTTGAGCATTGCAATAATGCATTAAGAATACTTTGATTCCACATGATGTCAATATAAACAAACACACACCAACTCTCTCTCTCTCTCTCTATATATATATATATAATATATGTATAAAGCAAACTTTGGAGTTGACTTTGCTGAGTAGCCATTGTTGGAGCAGCATCGATCTGTCTTTGAATCCTTCCGTAAGGAACTACCTAGCAGAAATTTTTTTGGTTTTTTTTCGGTAAACAGACATGCACGAGACTCCTGGTGATGCAGAAGCCTTACTAGTATATGTAGAGAGACTCTTTCCAGATAACAATAAAATTGCTTGGAAGACCATGAGTTGACAGCCGAAACATTACCATCAGAGGCCATATATTGCATTTCCGAGGTTGTAAATCTTTTTTAGAACATGACCGGCCTAAGTTACATATGTATTATATAAATAATTGGCTACAATCATTGCCCCGGATAAGCCTGTGATGATGATGTTACTTACCAAAAAATATATATATAATTAGATAACATGTTAATTATTATTTGAATGATTTTGAGTGGCTGTGGATTATAGGCTTAGCAGTACTGGTCCAATCTCAGAATCTGCATATGGGTTCCGAGTACTGAGTAATTCTGAACACTGAATTGGGCTGAACCAAAATTGAGTTGATTGTCAAAGTCTGACATGGGTTGGGATGTCTGAACATGACAATACCAGGACCGGTAACATTAGCCCTAGTCCCAAAATGGAGCTCAATGGATCATTAATTGCAACCATATGATCATCACATCCTTCTCAAAACATACTTGAGTAGCTATTATTGGTGGTGCATGGATCCTTGATTCATTCTATCGTGAACCAGTACATCATGTTCTGTCCGGTTCGGGATGTACTACTTTACAAAAAAGGTTAAAATATTTGCTAAACATCTCAACCTTTTTGTAAGGTGCATTTCGAACTGAACGGAACACGTCCTACTATTTCACTGGAGAGGATTCGGATATATATGTAGTATTGTAGTCCTATTCCAGAGATTTTTTATTTCCAGAATTGGCTTGAGGGCATAGCTTGAAACCTACATCAAGCCACAGAAATCTTGATTTCTTAGCTTAAAGCAGGAGCAATTACGCATTAGGCATTGCTTTTGCATATACGGTTAGGACTTAGGACTATCAATCTTTGGTCGATCATCTGCAGATGCCAAACAATACATAGTCAATAGTAATGACTTAGTAGTACATGTTCCTAGACAGAATGATAAACAGAACTTATTTTGCACATTCGAGTCTACGAACTTCCATATGATCATGCCATATAACATTTGTGCATATTGGAAATTAGTACTTCGACACCCTCAGATGTAGTCCATTTGGCGCTTTAACTTTTGGAAATTTTACAATCTTCTCTCCCCCAACTTCTTCCCATCTGCAAGTTATTAACACGAGATGAACAATTTTTCTGATAAACAATGGATGGAAGTGATGTATATTACCTGTATCTAGCAACGAAGTAGTGAAGGAAGATAGAAATCGTTGCTATGCCCAATTCCTTTCCAAGACAAAACCGGCTTCCTATTCCGAAAAAGAAGCAGTGGTTGCTACATTCCAAGCTCTTATTATCCTGCATTGCATTGAAGAAGTTTATTACCAAACTGTTGCTTTGTGCAGAAACACACAAACAGGTGCTTGTATGCATTCAAGCACCACTAGCAACAAACCAGCCATCTCCACGGATTAAATGTATAAGGCTCCGGATAAAGAACTGGATCGTAGTTGATCTCCCTTGTGTCCACGTAAATTTTCCATCCTTTGGGGATAACAAATCCTGAACAGAACAAAGCCAAAACTACATATGTCACTATCTCTACGTTCGTACAAATGTTGCAGTTGAGATGAAGTAAGATTATCCCCAACATACCATTCAATTCCATTTCTTCCGTTGTCCTCCTCAAGGCCACACTGGTTACCGAGGCCAATCTCAAGGTTTCAAAGATCACCTACATCAAGATGCATGAAAATTAGAACAAAGTTTTTAGTTATTTTATGTGTGTCGGTGTCAAATTGTTTCGATGAATGTAATAATGACACTATCAAATAAATTTGCTTACAGCACAGGTAAAATTCATAGACTTGTAGTCATTCCAATCAATTGGCTGGTCCGCCTTTTTCTTTTTTCGGATTGTGAAATGCTCATCCTGAATGAGTTCGAGTCGAAAGAGAACTATTTACTTCACAAAACTTTGTCTGTGAGCAAAAAATCATTGAATCTTGGATATATACATAGTACATAAACCATTGCTTACCCTAAGTTCTTGGAGTGCTTTTGGATGATCATGGAGATACTTGACTGACATCATTGAAGTAGTCGATACGGTTTCAGTACCCGCGAAAATAATTGTAATTACTTGATCAATAATTTCTTCATCACTGAGTTTGAACTTTGAGTCCTCAGATTTTACTAGGTAATCAAGCATGTCATTATGGGTAATTGAGGAAGCTTTCCTTTTCTCTATAATCTGTCTCAAAATTCTAACAATCCTCTTCCTTCCCTGTGAAAAACATCAGTTTCATATAAAATAATCAAAAAGTTCAGGATCAACACTATGACATAAAAACTCTAATAATATATACTTGGAATCCATGATAGTATTTTGTGCCTGGAATGTTGATTGGCATTGAAAATGTTCCTCGGAGCAGCTTATCGAACTCTTGCTTGAAATCCTCATAAATCGAACTAGATTCAACTGCCACAACTTGATGGAAGGATATGAAGATAACCATCTGAACCAATTGATATAAGATCAACACCATACAACTTTTAACTGTTTTTTTTTTCTATAATTGAATCATTGAAAAACTCTTGTTTTAAAAGGATTGTAATTAGTATATACTCACATCTTTGGTTTTTTCTTGGATATCAATGGTTTTGCCATCCCAATTGTTGAGGTGTATTCTCATAAGCTTGTCAATTTTAGGAAAAAGCTGGTCTTTGATTGTGGAAGGGGAAATAAGCGATAGTAATGAGCCTCTAATGTGTTTGTGAGTACTCCCAAGCACAGCTGTAATGTTGCATCTCCCTAATATGTTATGCACTGACTTTGGGTAGCCAGGAACAAGTCCTTTTCCTTCATTCAAGAGGATATATCTATTGAGATCTGGATCCATGGAAACAATTGTAGGACACCCCAATATGTGTGTTTTGAAAACACTTCCATACCTGCCGATATAGATACATAATCAGGGATCAAATATTTTTAGGAAATAAATCTTTATTATGAGACCAAACAATTCAATAAAGAGTTGCCATGTGAACAATGTGGATATCATTTGAAAATGAGTAGTTCAGATAGAATCGAACTTTCGATTGATCCGGGCACTTGGGATCCTCTAGATGAAGACATGGTGTCTCTGGATCCCATTGAATTGCATTCGGATGAGGAGCCTTAGAAAGATAGTATCGATTCTTATCAAATAAAGTAAATGAGCCTAGCAATTGGGGTTATGGATTTTCAATTTATGGGGGGTAGTATGGGATCCGTAGTTGGGGACAAAATTACCCATTTGGTCAAGTATGCTACCAATAAATTTCTACCTCTTATTATAGTATGTGCTTCGGGATGAGCACGCATGCAAGAAGGAAGTTCGAGCTTGATGCAAATGGCAAAGTCGGATACATGTGATTAAATTTATGTGAGTAGAAGATGATGTCATCATACTTATATAAAACAATTGAATGCATCCGACTTTGGAAAGGAAATTAGATTTTGGTGACCAAAATTAAGAAAATTGATTTTTAGTGACCATAAACTAAAAACAATGACAAATAGTTTCCCAAGGTAAAAGTTAATTGCAATATAGTATATAGTGACCAAATGAGGTTAATTTAGTTATGATGCTAATATAATAAACATGGTTGAAAATAATTTTTTTAAAGTAGTGATAGAGAATTTGACAGTGAAACACATCCGATTATTTTTATGTGAGTAAAGGTTAATATCACCATGACATCGTGAATATTAATGATATCATAATAATGTCATTCTTTACTTACATAAATTAGTCCGATTTTAAGACTCCAGATCATTATCCATTTTCAAATCAACCCTAACCCTACCCCATTTTTCACTTTCAATGCAAACCATCATCCCACTTGACCACATGGAAACCTCAATTCAAGAGAGAAGAAGAATCAACTCACTACCACCCTAAACAAGAAGAAAAGGAAGAAAATGATGCATGAAAACAATGATTTGTTTCTTTAACAGTAAAAAGGAATGAGCATTTTATTTCATCATAGAATCAAACTGATATATGCCAGACAAATGCCCATGCCAAACATGTTTACAACCGTTGGATATAATTTGGTGTAGATCAATTTCTTGTTCACAGATAAGCAAGAGATCATTTTTGCATATTATGTAAAACATTAATATTCGATATGTAATATATATAATTAGAATGTATTATAATAAATTAATCAAATATGTTAATAAATATATCTTATAAGTTATAATGAAGTATATTATATAGAACTCACCTTGCTCTTTTGGTTTTCAAGAAGTCTGTACCTTTCTTCAACAACTGTATGGTCTCACCAAAAAGTGGCCACCCCATTGTCCCAGGAGGCAACCCTCTCCTATAGTTTCTTATCTCATTCCATTTCAACAGAGCATACCGGAAACAGAACCCGAAGGCCAACACACAAACCGTCATTAAAACCTCCATTGATGCTCCCAACAAGCTTTGAAACCACTTCAGAGAGATTGCTGCATGTAGTGATGGAAAAGAGAGAGACACATGGTGGCTATATAGGCCACAACCAGTGTCGCACCCACAAGATAATAAAAAATTTGAACATAAAAACAAACCTAAATATTAATATATAATATTTTTGTCTATACTTTCATAATTGTATACAAGAAGTTCTATATTCTAATGTTTCCAAAAATCATTACACATAGTGCCTCGTTATCACTAGTTCACTACCATTATAAATACAATATTTTAACATTATTCTACTTTTGCTTTTTCTGTTTTTTTTTCTTTAAAAGAAATCTCAATTTTGGTACTCATTGCTCAACAGTATAATCTACCTACCCTCAAAGAGCGAGTTCGAATCCTGGGCAATGCGTGCATGAGTACTTACTTGAGTGAAACTATTAATCGGTCAGACTTTTATATACTTTTCTTATTTTCAATTCTCAAAAAATATTGAGCAATATATCTTACACGCCAGATACATCTATGTTTTCACTCTTGTTTAGCTTGAACTACATATTCTTGAATAAATATAATATAATGTAGTATAAAGAAAAGGATAAGAATAACCATTTGGATGAAATCAAAATTTTCTTTGTTTCTTATTTGGTAATACAAATGTATTGGGTTTTTCTGAGTAGTGAACAGGATATCATCGTCGTCGCCACTTTAATCTCATATGAATTGGGTCGGTATCTCCAATTTTTTCTATTACATGTCATTTCACTTATTATATTTACTTTTTTAAAGTCATTTTTAATAATCTTTACCCATGTCATTTTTGGTCGCTCTCTCTATCTCTTACATTCTATTACCGCTAGTCTTATTTGTTTAACCAGCGCATCTCTGGGTCGCCAATATATGTGTCCAAACCATCTAAGTCTATTTTCTCTAATTCTCTCACCAATGGGTGTTACACATAATTTTTCTCTCACACTTTTATTAATGTGACTCTATCTCTTCTAGTTACACCATCCACCCATCTTAAATATTCTCATTTTCACTGCATGCATGAATACATTATTCTTGTTTCTTTTTTATGGCCCAATACTCCACTCCTACATACCAGCTTGTCTCCATTTTGTGAGTCATACGCAGCGGAATGTATAAAGGAAAGTTTTAGGTTTTGTAAAACAAATCTGTGTCTTTTCTAACTTTACTTATTTTAGTAATTAAACACACGCAGATAAAATAAAGCAAAGTATAGAGTTAGAGATGATACCAGGATTTTAGCGAGGAAACCCTAGTTGATAAATACGTCAACTGTTATGGGAAAAATCTCGTGGACTGTGTAGTCCAAAGTATATCAATCCACTATGCTTGAAACAAAGTACACCGAACTTTGACTCTGACTCACACCCTACTGTTCTACCAAACACCAACTACTGACAATACTCTGGCTTTGCGACTCTCCATCCAACAGCAACTTAACCTCAGGCTTATGATTGATATTTGTAGAAGAGTAGCAGGTAGATCAAACAACACTTCACGAATGCTCCAGCCCTTTCAAGGCGTGATTGCTTTTACTTCTGTTCTTCAATCGTTTGAACGATGTAGAAGAAGATTTGCTTTCATCTGATCGATGTAGATGCAACTGTATGATCACGATCAGGATTCGAACTCACAACTCTAACTTAACTAGGTGAATATGTGTATGTTCTAGGAAGACACAGAAAAATCAACTTTGATTTTCTAAGAGGAATAAACTGTAATGTTTGTTATTTATTGACATATGTATGTGTATATATACGGTGGAAAAGAAATTTAGAAAAGTCAAAAATGTAGGGGGACCCACCATTGGTGCACTTAAGGCAATGAGACCACATTTTTGGTCTCATTTTTCTCTCTCCCCGGCTAGCTCTCTCTCTCCCCTATTTCCTTGCATTTTTCTTTTCTTTTCTCAATCAAACTTCAAACTTCAATTAATCTCTAACCACTTAGAATTTTTGGGTACCATTTACGGCAAATCAGAGAGCACAGCGAGGTCTAAACGTTGATATAAGGAATTTCTCATTTGGTGCACTCTAGTGATTTCGAATTTTTGGATCCATTTGAGGGTTTTGCATCTAAGTGAGGTAGGGGTGCTCTAATTCATGTTTTCTTTGATCTTTTATGAATATCCCCTCTAATTTGATTCTAAGCATGTTCAATTTTAACAATTTGGTCTATGTTGTTGTGGTTGTATGTAATTAAGTTGATGGATGTATTATATGTGTTAATTGAACTTATAATTATGATCATATATTTAGTGGTGAAGATACATGCTTAGTATTGACATTTTAGATGCTTCCATGATTTTTAATTGTTAAGAAAAGTGATGTTGAAATCATGAAAATAAATGTTAGGATTTCCCTTAATAATGTGATCATGATGTAGATGGAATGTACGGAATTTATTATAAATTTTTCTTGAGAAATTGTCATGATGCTAGATATATGATGTGTATCTCTATGTGTGTTATGTGTAAATAATATATGTGTGTAGGATTTGTTGATCGAATATGGAAAGCATGCTTTTGTGATTATGCCCTTATTTAATGTATGTAATTGTAGAAATTTTGTTGACTTAAAGCATGCTATAAATTCATGAGAAAATTCTTCTTTAGTATGAAATGTTATTAAGGTTTGATGATGTGAAGATTATGGTAATTTGTGAAGCATGAAGCATTCATGCATCCATTGGGAGAGAAAAAGGGGAAAAGTATTTTTTTTAAAACCAATGAAATTGTTTTGGGGAAACGTTTTTGAAAGTGTTTATGAAAACCGGACACCTAGGAGGCGCCTAGTGGTCTATGGTGTTAGTGTGGTCTAGAAGGAAGTATGGTTGAACTAACTAGGCCGGATGCAATACCTTGGAAGTGCCTTGTGGTCGTGGATAGTTAGTCAACCCTCCATTCGTGACGCCTTGGAGGTGCCTTGGGTCGGATTACACTGACTTTTTGGAAGTTGAAATGGTACTGTTTCAGAACTGGGGAGCGACATTGCATTGGCATACATTGTATATTTGGTGGTTAGACGACTTGCGTACGTATTTGTTGATTATTATCGTTACTTTACTTGTTTTTCCCGAGATATGATCCCATTCTCTCGTATCCTATTCATTGTATGGATTCATGGAGTCGTAAGAGGTATGTCTTAGACGCTTCCTACTGAGCTTTATGCTCACCCCATCATTTAACATTTTTTAGGTCAAGGGAAGGAAGTGGCGGATGACGTTCCTCCATAGGTTTGAATGGGTTAGTGGACTGTTTTATTATCTTTTATATTTGTGATTTCATTTGTTTTATATAAGTTTTGGGATGGCACATACATTATGTATCGGCCTTAGAACTTACCATAGTGCCCTTAGACGACCTCAGGTTCGGGTAAGAACCCGATTAGCGATTCGAACCCTGGGGTTCAGGTTGTTACAAATTTGGTATCAGAGCGATGATTTGAAAACCATTAGGACGACGGGTAGAGGCCTACCTAGGGTTGTGTGGGAGTTGAATTGCATGTTTACGTGCTTATGTGTTAGGTGTTTAACTATTTATGAAGCATGCTTCCTTGTTTCTTATTTTAATGTTTAATGTTTGACAGACATGCCTATTTGCTAAGTGCTTTTGTGTTTAGATGTCAGTATATGTAAAGGAAGTGTATCTGTGATTTGAAAGCAAGTTAATTGTGACAAGATGACAAGTTTGAGATGCATGGCAATGGCGAGTGGTAGGCACAGTTTGTGCAGATTTAAATTTAAATAATAATGTGGCAAGTAGTGGGTATGGTATATAAAAGCACGTTTCATATGGTATTGTGGGTTACAGTCATTTTATATATAGATATCTATATATTTCTGTGTATATGCGGTCGAGCCTAGGATTGTCGCTAATACGGTAGAGTAATTGTTGGGACGTAGACGATTGTCTGGGTTTTGACCTGAGTAGGTGAGGAGCTCGGTTGCTCCAGGGTTGGTTGGGGTGCCGGTTCTTATCGAATGAATTACGTGGACTTCTAGCTCTTGGATTGAGTTATTCAGTGTGTAGTCATCTTAATTTTCTTGTTAAATTTTGCGCGGTGCTTAGGGCATGACTTTAGAACGGATTCATATTTCATGGCATGATGCCTTTGTTGTGTATGAGTTTCATGCATCGGTGGATGGGTTCCTGTAACCATAGAGGTTAGGTGTGTGAGTGAGGATTTTAAAGGAGAAATGTATGACCTTAGGAGGTTAGTGTTTGTAACTTGGATCACAGTTTAGTACGGAGTTTCTTCTCGAACCGGTCGTGGTAAGTGTGACAGAAGTTATTTGAGTCATGAATGTAGTCTATGGGATGTAAAGGTGTATCTTCCGGTACGGTCTGAGGAGGCGTGTTGGTTCTGACTGTCATGAGTACTTGTTGGATTTTGTAGGTCTGGGGTGATATAGGACTGGTTGCAAGGTGTAGAGCATTTTGTGTCTTGTAAGAGTCTGTTTTGGAAACTGGGTTGTCAAGGAGTGATTCTCATTTTGGATAGTTATAGGAGCATGTTACGGGTAATGAACTCTCAGTGAGTTGATTACATGGTTCGGTGGATGAGTGGGGTTATAGGTTGTCACGGTTGTCAAGAGAGTCTCGAGGTAGTGTATAGTGGTTAGTTTTAGTTGTGTAAAGCAGGATTGCACTATAAGGCAAGTTGTATGAGGTCATTGAAGTGCTCGGTCATTTACGGATGGAGTGATTAATGGTAGGTACGGTGTTACCAAATAGACTGTGTTCTAGGATTTGAAAGTTGTGGACTGGAGTTGGATTTTATGTTATGTCTGATGTATCAGGAGATTGTGCTTGGTGTTTGAGGATTCGAAAAGGTAGACTGATGATTAGAATGATTGGGACGAGGTTGATTTTGTGGGTTTAGTTGTTCGCCCCATTTGACCTTTGGTGGGGCCAAGGGTGTTCTGAGGAACGGCGAAGAGGGGAGGTAATGGTGTTGAACCTAGGGTATTAAGTTTTCTTATTTAGGCATGTAGATCACCTTAGAATGAGTGGTTTAAGTAGTTGGTTAAGTATTAATGATTGATTGCATAGTTGGTGGTTTTAAAGAGACCGTTGGGTGTTGAGCATTCTGAGATTGTGCCCATTTTATTTTGAGGATTTGTCAGCATAGCATTGCCGTATGG